GCCCAGCTCACTGAGGCCTAAGTCCCTGGTCATCCTCCATTCCCATTTTTGCCTGCTTTAAACTCCAGAATGAGTTCCTCGGCCTTCGCTGAGAAAATTTTAATTTGCCCTCAGCTATACCAAAGACACTTGGGCCTCCAAGCTCGCCCACACCTGACTGCCCCCTACAGCCAGAAGGTCATTCAGCCAGAGTGGCATTACTTTTCATTATTACAATGCAATAAGGGACAATAATCTTCATTTTCACTAACGGCTCCCTACAACAAAGCCTAGACCTCCGGGTGAGATTAGGAGAAGCGCCTTTCACGAGCTTGGCCGAGTTGCAGCCTGGGAGAATTTCGGCGATCCCAGTTTCCGGGGATTAGACTGCTGTGGACTACATTTCCCAGAAGCCTCCGGGCACAGGTCGTTTCAGGTCGGGGGTGGGGGGAAGGAGTTTGACTGTCCAGAGCTTTCGAAACAGCTGGGCTCCGGGCCTCTGAGGATTTTGTAGCTCTCTTTTCCCATAAGTCTCTGGGTCACTGGGTCCCTTTCCGGTGTCCCCAAGTTCTTGGACTCTGCGCGGTGAGTTGGTCGCCTCCCGGGAAGTAATCAGCGCCTGGTGAGGGTGGGAGGGCTCAGCAGACTTTACTGAGGAGGAATTGGAACCGGCAGTGAGGGTTGGTTGGCGCCAGGAGGCGCTTGATGTGAGGAGGCCCTTGTCGCGCCCCGGGCGTATCTTGTCCACAGCCTCAAGTCTGCGTGTTAGCGAGCCGCTCAGGATGGTGTGTGACAGGTGGTGAGACAGGGCCGGGGTAAGTCTCGGTGACGGGGTGATGGGGTACTTAGCCTTTATTTGTAGGTGTGGTTCGATTTGGTTGTGGGCTCTAAGTTCTTTCTGGACTGCCTTAGGAAGCTGCCAAAGTTAAATGACCCGCCAAAGTTAAATGACCTCACGAAAAGTCCTGTACTGAGTCCTAGACTGAACGTTTCAAGCAGGAAGGTCTAGTTTTGGGATGAGAATTTTGCATCTGGAAGTGTCCTGGTGACGGGCGCTTGGGAAGACGTGAGGGGGAGGTCCCACAGATAGGGATCCTAGAAGCGGCAGCTCTCCTCGCTCCTTGGGGGCCAGGCACATGCTTCAGAGCCACTTCAACCAGACTTCAGTCCCCAAGACTTGTTGTCAACTTAGAGATAGATTCCAGCCTCCCTTTGAATTTGATTTGGTTATGTGTGGATGAAGGCAGATGTGGCCAGAGAGGGTGTTTGCTGTTTTTTATTTTTGGTTAAGTCTCTGCTCCAGGAAATGCTGGTGTCTCATGATTCCTCTTTCTGCCCACTGCTGTCAGATTCCTAAGAAAGACCATGAGGAGGAGGAAAGAATAGTTGCATATTTAGAAATCGAAGTTCAGGTGAGTTTGTGTTTCCTTATATTCATACAATTACAATTTTTTTTTATTTTTAAAGATTTTATTTATTTACTTTTAAAGAGGTCAAGGGAGAGAGAAAAAGACGGAGAGAAACATCAATGTGTGATTGCACTCGTGCGACCCCTACTGGGGACTTGGCCCGAAACCCATGCATGTGCCCTGACTGCGAATCCAATCAGCAACCCCTTGATTTGCAGGCTGGCACTCAGTCTACTGAGCCACACCAGCCAGAGTTTTTTAAAAAGATTTTTGTTTATTTTTAGGGAGAAGGGAAGGGAGGGAGAAAGAGATAGAGAGAAATATTTATTGGTTGCCTCTCACACACCTCCAACTGGGGACCTGTCCTGCAACCCAAACGTGTATCCAGACCAGGAATCAAACCAGTGAACTTTGGTCCATGGGGCAATGCCCAACCTGTTGAACCACACCAGTCAGGGCTCATACAATTACTTTTGCTTTTAGTTCATGAAAATGTTTGCTTTCCTAGGCTTGAAATATCTTGACAAGTAGTGTCTTCCTTCTGGTGAGTGACCCATCCCGCTGATGCATCCCTCTTCCCAGTGGTCCATATTGCCCTTCAATGAATAGCCATCTGTTCATATGGCACATTGTTCAGATCTTTTAGTGCATTCTCCCTAAGTGTTCTGCAGGTATAAAAATACACCTCCTGGAGATTACTGTTAGAGCTTTATTTTAGACTGCGATTACTTGGGGAGATTAGTATTTAGGTAGTATGGTGTACAGACTATTTTTTATCCTCTCCACAGTGGTGATTTTTTAAAAATCCTCACCTATGGTTAGGTTATTGGTTATTGATTAGAGGATATGGTTATTGATTAGAGAGAGAGGAAGAGAGGGAGGGAGTGAAGAGGTAGAAAGGCGTAGCCACAATTGTCCAGCATCTGCTCTGTACCAAATATGTATGGTTTTGTTGTGTTTCTGTTTATGAGTATGTATTTCCCTCCTCAGATATTAAAGGTGACTTATATAATTCATGTTCATTTACGGGAGACTCTTGACAGTGGAAGTGTCTAATTGTAGAGATGAGCTACAGCCACAGGATATTCAAGAACCAGTAGGTGTAATTTGTGTCAGGCCCATCAGTACTGGGCTTGTTTGTTTAGTTTTATTTTTTCTTTTTTAAGGATTTTATTTATTTTATTTTTAGAGAGAAGGGAAGGGAGAGAGAAATAAGTGGAGAGAAATACTGGTGTGTGAGAGAAACATCTATTGGTTGCTTCTTGCACACTCCCAACCGGGGACCCAGATTGCGACCCAGGCATGTGCCCTGACTGGGAATCGAACCAGCGACCTTTGAGGTTGCAGGCCAGTGTTTAACCCACTGAGCCACACCAGCCAGGGCTGTTTAATTTTCTTTTTCTTTCTAAAGATTTTATTTATTTATTTTTAGAGATGGGGGAAAGGAGGGAGAAAGAGAGGGAAAGAAACATCAATGTGTGGTTGCCTCTCACATGGCCCCCACTGGGAACCTGGCTTGCAACCCAGGCATGTACCCTTACCAGGAATCGAACCAGCAACCCTTTGACTCGCAGCCTGTGCTCAATCCACTGAGCTGTACCAGCCAGGGCTAATTTTCTTAATGACTACAAAATACCCATTCCCTGTCACTCGATATTTTACTTGGAAATACCTTTATAGTTTTGATTATGGAATTAATACAGTTTTGTTGCAAAAAAATTCATTAATCCACAAAACGTACAAAGTAAAAATTATATCCTCTTAATTGTTCTTAGTATTCTGGTGTGTTTTTACTCAATTTTTTTCCCTGTGAGTCTATGTGTCTTGTTTTGTTTCTGCAGAATGAAATCACAGTAATTGGTGATATAATTGAGTTGAAGACTCTAGCTTTTAGTTTGAAAATGAAATCCAACCCAGACACAGGTTTTATTTTAATCTTGAGGATGTAGAAAGAAGGAAGTACCGGTGATTCCTTTCTTATTTGAAAATTTTCAAGTATTTACAACTTTTGGGAGTGTACAAATACCATTTAAAATTGATTACCGGGTAATGGAAAAAAATACAGTAAAATGAACAAATAAAATGATTACCAGCACAATAAAGACAGACATTCAGAATTAGATTATTTTAAAGGTTCCTTCCACAGAGAATAGCAATACTGTCTAATGTACAGCTATCTTACAAAAATCTATTTTACAAGTAATATTTTCAAGAACACATATTAATATCAAAATATAGAATAAAAAGGTTGACAGTGACCAGAGGGGAGTGGGGAGGGAATTTCTGGGGAAAAATGGAAGGGTTTACAGGAACAAGTATAAACGACATATGGACAAAAACTAGGGGTGGGTGGAAATGGGAGGGAGGTGGGGAGGGCTGCGGGGGGGCTGGGATGGGAGTAAAAGACAGAAAACTATATTGAACAACAATTAAAATAAAATAAAGTAATTTAAAAGAGAAGGTTATAGTTTTAAATATTCAAATAAGCCACCAATTTGCCCAGAAGAACCAGATTCAGCCTCTGCTTAATGTTTTCAGCTTGACACCTAATTGGGCATATTTTCTGAGCCAGCTTTGGGGTACCTAATTTTATCTCTTCATCTGCAGCTTCTGAAAGGAGGGAATATTTTCTCTTAACCTTTTTAAGAACCAATTTTGCTCATCTTATTATTTAGGAAGAATGGTGGGCTCAGGGCTGGGCTGCGAATTTTTAGTTAGCATTGTAAGAAAGCAGGCCAGAGAAGCACAGATTTTATCATGAGAAAATGGAAAGAGTGGCATTAATTTTCATTATTACAATGTAATAAGGGACAATAATCTTCATTTTCACTAGTGGCTAAAACTTATATTAAGCAATAATTGTACACCATTTTATGTGGTCTTTCTTACTTAATCTTCAGTGCAACCATCTGTGGTAAACACTGTTTTTACCTGTTTTATTTGATTTATCAACAGCAATGTTGAGAAATTGGTAACTATCAAGCTTAAGTGTGCTACCAGACCCTTTATCTTAATTTTGTATATACTTCACACATTATGTATCCTTTAAAACACCTGCCTACCTCACTAAGAAATTGATTATGCATGTCTGTCTTTGTCAATTAATGTGCTCCAGGACCATCATAACTAATGAGTGTGGAGTGGGCCATAATTCATTAAACCTTTTGTCCAGCCCTGCTTGGTGTAGCTCAGTGGATTGAATGCGGGCCTGCTAACCAAAGGATCATGGTTCGATTCCCAGTCAAGGCACATGGCTGGGTTGCAGGCCAGTTCCCAGCAGGGGACGCACGAGAAGCAACCGTACATTGGTATTTTTCTCCCTCTCTGCTTCCTTTCCCCTCTAAAGATAAATAAATAAAATCTTTAAAAAAATAAAATAGAAAAAACCCTTTTGTTCAGTATTACATAGTTTCTCATTTTTGTTTATCGTAAATGATTTTTGGTTGATTATTCTTGTATATGTTTTGTACATTTCTATAGCTATTTAAGGATACATTTTTAAAAATTATTTATTTATTTTTAGAAGGGAAGGGAAAGAGAGAAGGAGAGAAATATCAATGTATGGTTGCTGCTGGTGCATCCCCTGCTGGGAACTGGCCTGCAACCCAGGCATGTGCCCTGATGGGGAATTGAACCTCGATATTTTGGTTCTCAGGCCCATACTCAATCCACTGAGCTACTCCAACCAGGGCTAAGGATACATTTTTATAAGTGTGTTTTTGAGTAAAAATTTGTCCCAAACATAAGACCCTGAAATAGTAGTACTTGGGAAGATATACAATCACTAAAAAATACTTGTTACCTTTAAGGTAAGAAAGATGAACTATGTATAGGAATAAGTGTAGGGCAGGCAGCAACAAAGGCCAGTAGGCAATTCAGATAACTTATCATAGAAACTCACAGGAAGGTAATTATAGGCAGTACTGTTAGGTCATGACCAATTTCTTAGAAGCAAGTGGAATTTATCCTGCGAGTTTTATACCTTATAGTTTTTTATCCTATGAATGTTAGTTGCAAATTGAGACCGGTAGGATCTGGTAATTCAGTAGTTACCCAGAGAGTCTAAAAAGACAAATTTCAGATACAAAATAAATCCATCTGTCAGAAGACATGAAAAGAAGCAGGATCAAGACCTCTCAGTATACCCATGAGATTTTGGGAATTTCAACCATTTTTTCTAGGTAGGACAAACATAGAAATCATATAGATATAATGCATGGCCATCGTTACAATTCCGCAGGATACCAAAACAAAAAAATCATTGTGATCATAATATATTATTATATATAGCTGTATAACTTCCCAAACATTTGTAAATCTACTGATGTCTGATTATCAGTCTTTCTATATTGATACATACATACTTTTTAAAAAAAATTTTATTTCTTTAGTTTTAGAGAGAGGGGAAGGGAGGGAGAAAGAGAGGGAGAGAAACATCAATGTGTGGTTGCCTCTCACACGCCCCCTACTGGGAACCTGGCCCGCTACCCACACATGTGCCCTGACTGGGAATCAAACCAGCAGCCCTTTGGTTGGCAGGCCTGTGCTCAATCCACTGAGCTACACCACCCAGGGCTATATATATTTTTTAAATGTAGTCATACTATTTACAGCATGTAACCTGTTTTTTCTATTGACAATATATTTTGATTATTTTCCCAACTTACCATAGCACAGTTTCATAGTGTTCCATCGCATGGATGTTCTGAATCCATTAAGTGAGATTTTGGGGCCCAGGCAATTCCCTGAGCAATTGTTTGTATATCCTGTGTGCTCCTATGTCCTGACCATTTCTCTTCGGTCTTGAACCCATGGAGGATGCTCTAGTCTTGGGCCATATGGCCCAGTCTCACTTCTGACAGGTGGGAATGGAGGGAAGAGGATCTGGTCTGGGGAAGACCAAGTAGTCCAGTCTCAGGCTCATACCAGCATCCCCAGAACTGGGCAGTGCAAGAAGCCTTCCTGCTGAAGGACCTGGGGCTTCTAGGTGAGAGTTTAGATTCCACGAAAGGTGTGTGGGGTGTGATTAGCTTGAGTCAGGATGGGATCAGTTAAGCGCACCTGATCTAAAGCTTCTTTTTCCTTCCCCAGCTCTGGCTTTTCTGGACTCTGTGCTTTGCCAATAAAGGAGCCCTATGGAACTCTAAGTTATCCTTGCAATCATAGGACCATGACTGATGTAAGTTGGTACTTTCTCTCTCCTTGAAATACAGTGATTTTTAGTTTATGTGAACCTTTTCTGTGATTATCCTAAAGCTTTCTCCCTAACAGAACCCCAGCCCTAGACCTGCTTCTCAGTTTCTCCTATTCCAGTGAAGGATGGTACCAACCACCCAAGCGCCCTCTCCCTGTGTATTGTTTTCAGTCAGTTTCATCATATTCACTGAACACATTATCCCACACCTCCTGCGTGCTTGGTCATCTATCAAGAACAGTAAAGGAATGGAGTCTTTGGTGGGAAATACTTAAGCTTCTGTCACAGAATGACTCAAATATAGTTAACAATTAGCACACTTTTGCTTGTATACAAGGAAAACCGATAGTAGATTGACTTTATCTATTAAAGCACAAGCAGGATTTGTATAAGAGAAGGAGGAAAGAGGAGAGAATGAAAGACGAGACCACAGTTTCCGCTTTTCAGGCTAAGATGCCGATTGGCAGGAGCTAGGAAAGAAGCCAGTCAGGTCACTGTCCCCTTAAACAGCTGGGTGGCCTCCATGCAGGCAATTTCAGTTGTGCGTTCTCTGGAAGAGCTTTGGTGTTTTGCTGTGGCGTATCTGTGGCAGGCTGTCTGGGTAGTGCCTTTTGGTATCACCTCCATCTTCATGCCACCAGGACTGCACCATTTCCTTACTGTAATCTCTCATTCACTTGTCAAATCTGTGGTGTGAAGAGCTAGTGACAAGGGTCTCACTGGGCCACACAGAAAAGCCTGGAACTTCTTCATGGACCTGAATTTTCCAGGAGGTTCCAATGGAATTTGGGATTTCTTGGTCTCAGCCCAAGTTTATGTGCAATCACTCACTTTGCAGAGCTTTCAGGATTAGAGGGGTAGACAGTGGTTTTTTCCTGGGCTCCCCTAATTGTTTATCACCAGTCTCAAAGTCCATTTGTCACTGGCCAGGACGTGCAGGTCTTGAGTGACATCTGTTAGATGCAAGATCCTATGTCAGTTTCCTCCAATTAGGGAGCAAAGAAGGTGTTAAGTGATGGGTATTTGATGATAACAAGAAGATATTCCAGGTTCTTATGTACTATATGATAATAGATTTCCAGAATTAAGAAGATCTTTAGAAATTTTGTTCAACCTAAGTCTATAAATATAATAGAGTTATTAACCTCATATATCCAAATCATGAACTGAACTGTAGCTAATAAAACATTTTATGTATTTATCATAATAAAAAATTCTTATGATATAGGACTTCTGGCCAAGATGGAGGCGTAGGTGGAAACATTGTGCCTCCTCACACAAACAAGTTTAAAGAAAACAAAATTGTAGTAACAAAAACTCAGCCAAAACACAGAAAATTGAACTGTACAGAAGTCCGACAACAACGAACCATTCAGCCAGACTGGTAAGAGGGGCAGAGTCAGTGGCAGAGCAGGGTCAGGCAGGAAAGATTGGTGGACCGACCCAGGAGCGCAAGCAGCAGTTGGTGGATACCAGGCGGTTGGCAGATACCAGGCGCAGGTGGCAACAGGCGGGCCCAGTGAGGGCACAGGGCGGCTAGCTGACCACGGTCACACATTCGAGCGCAGGTAAACCAAGTGAAGGAGCGAACAGTGAGACAGACCGCTCAGGCTAGGGCCCCAGCGATGGGAATTAGAGCCTGAAAGCACCAATTGGAGAGACTTTTGGGGTCAAGATGTCGGGAGAGGTGTTGGAGAGACCCACAGGGTCCTGGAGGGTACACAAGCCCACACACCCAGGAACCAGCATCAGGAGGGTCCAATTTGCTTGTGGGAAGCAGCAGAGGGGACAGAAATCTAAGAGAGCAGAACAAATGCCATTGCCCCTCTCTGACCCTGCCCCCACGTACAGCATCACAACCCAGCAACCTGGGTGGCCCTACCCTGGTGAACACCTAAGGCTCTGCCCCTCATACCTAACAGGTGCGAACAGACCAAAACATTATAGCTCAAAAACAGCTCAAAGCCCCAGAACCAATTATTCTAAGTGACTAAGAGATAGCCAAATTTTCAGATGCACAGTTCAAAACACTGGTGATCAGGATGCTCACAGAACTGGTTGATTTTAGTCACAAATTGGAGGAACAAATGAAGGCTAAACTAATTGAAATGAAGGGAAATGCACAGGAAACCAATAGTGATGGGAAGGAAACTGGCATTCAGATCAAGGGAGTGGACCAGAAGAAAGAAAAAAAAATGACCAAACAAAACAATGAAGAAACAAGAATTCAAAAAAATGAGGAGAGGCTTAGGAATCTCTAGGACATCTTTAAACATTCCAACATCCAAATTATAGGGGTACCAGAAGGGGAAGAGGAACAGCCACAAGTGGAAAACTTATTTGAACAAATAATAAAGGAGAACTTCCCTAAGCTGGCAAAGGAAATAGACTTCCAGGAAGTCCAGGAAGCTCAGAGAGTTCCAAAGAAGTTGGACCCAAGAAGGAACACACCAAGGCACATCATCATTACATTAGCCAAGATTAAAATGGAGAGAATCCTAGAAGCAGCAAGAGATAAGGGACTGTCACCTACAAAAGAGTTCCCATCAGACTGTCAGCAGATTTCTCAAAAGAGACCTTACAGGCAAGAAGGGGCTGGAAAGAAGTATTCCAAGTCCTGAAATCCAAAGACCTACAACCAAGATTGCTCTATCCAGCAAAGCTTTCAATTAGAATGGAAGGGCAGATAAAGTGCTTCTCAGTCAGATAAGATCAAATTCAAGCAGTTCATCATCACCAAGCCCTTATTATATGAAATGTTAAAGGGACTTACCTAAGAAAAAGAACATAAAAATATGAACAGTGAAAGGACAGCAAACTCAGTTATTAAGAACCACACCTAAAAAAAAAGCAAACTAAGAGGACAGCTAGATCAGGAGTGGAACCATAGGAATGGAGATCATATGGAGGGTTAGCAACAGGGGAGTGGGAGAAGGAGAAGGGGGGAGAAGGTACAGAGAATAAGTAGCATAGATGGTAGGTAGAAAATAGAGGGGAGGGCAAGAGTAGTATGGGAAATATAGAATCTAAAGAACTTGAGACACGTGTTCATGAACTACAGGGGGGGTGGGGAAGGGGTGTGCAGGGTGGAGGGGAATGAAGGGGGGAAATAGAACAAATGTAATGGCATAATCAATAAAATATATTTTAAAAATTCTTATGATATAATCTAATAGAATGATTTACTTAAGATTTAACGATAATCCTTAGTGAAGATTATTTTTCTGAAATAGAGATATTATTATAGTGTATTTGGAAAATTTTTTCATATTTTTTTCCATATTTTTTAAAGGGAAAAGATTATAATAGTTTACATTTATAAAGAATTTAGGAGGCAGGCACATAGCAGGGTATGTGTATGCAAATACACCCATAAACCTCCCCTTCTCCCCTCTGTTGTTATTCTTTAATAGAAGAGAAACTGGGATTATTTTTTATATTATCAGACAGGTCCAGGGAACTGAGTTAACTCACAGTATCCAGGGAGTTTTTTCCTGCTATAACGGGATTCTTCTGGAACGTGTTGAAACTCTGCTTTGAGTCATACTAATTTCCTTACTTTTTCTGACCCAAATGTACCACAGACTTCCCGTCTACTTGATTGTTATATTTCCCTCCTCTTGCAGTTTATCTTTCACAGCCTCTGTTTTCCTCTTGGAAATACTTTCTTAAATTTTAAAATTTCTTTAATTGCATGAGTCACGTGTGGATTTTTGGTTTTAGGGGTTGGTGACTTTCAGGGATGTGGCCGTCGACTTCTCTCAGGAAGAGTGGGAGTGCCTGGACCCCACTCAGAGGGACTTGTATGTGGACGTGATGTTGGAGAACTACAGTAACTTGGTCTCACTGGGTAAGGTCATCTGCTTGAAATCATTTAGAATCTCCTCTCTGCAACATCAGCTTTCTTCCCTGGGAACTGCAGGGCTACCTTTGAAGAAACAAGGTGACTTTCTTCTCCCTGTTCTCAAAGGAATGCTTTGTTATTTGTTGGGTTGGAAATGGGTTCATGCCCATCCCTCTGTGAGCTTCACACCTTCCTCTGGCCTTTCCTGCAGTGAATGGCCCCTCTTTTTAATGACCAACGAGCTGGATTCCTATTATGGGGCATTTATTTCATAACCATTGTAAGAGAGACCAGGTTTCGTACTATGTTTAACATCAACATTTCCATAAATGATCTCTGTTCTTGATACTGAAAAGGTGTTTCTTTTGTTTGGGGAACCATAAGAAGCCCAGAGCAAAGTAGTGAAGGAGAGAGTGTCAGGAATTAGTGAGGAAGTCAGGCAGGGTGCAGACGATAGCCTGTTTTGTTGGTTTTGGAGAAGAATGTAGATTGCTTTCTCAGTGATTAGAAGCCATGATTTGGTTTATATGGGGTTTCAACTTTTTTATTGTTAAGCGTTACACAATAATTACAGCTGCTTCTGAGGCTTGTTAGAAACGTAGCCTGTCAGTTCCCCAGATCTGCACGACAGAATCTGCATTTATGCAAGATGCCCAGGTGATCTTTATGCACATTAAAGAAGCCCTGATCTTTGTTCTTTTCCAACCCACGTGCGCCAGGACCAGGCCTCTGATATACTCTGACTTTCGAAAGAGCCTCTTCACTTTAGATAGTGGTGGAATGAATGAATAGAATTCATTTCATACTAAGTGAATGCATTCCTTTACTTACAGTAAATTTGGAGTTGAAAGTTAAAATCTGAGCTAACTCCTAGATATGTCTCATGAAACGTCGTTTTCCTCTTAGCAAAAAAAACAATGGTGACAATATTAATAGTTAACACTGTACTTACTATAAACCAGGCTTTGTTCTAAGTAGAACACTTAGATTAACTTATTTAACTTTTGCAGCATCCCCATGAGGTAGCGTCTATCTTTAGCTGAGGCACGTAGAGTTTAAGTGACTTCCTGGGGTCAGAGAGCTGGTGGGAAGCAATGGCAGTGATTGAACATAGGAAGTCTGGCTCCAGAGCTTGTGTTCTATTTTGCTCTAAAAAGTTGGAGCCTGGATGAGTCTCAGACAAGATCATTTGTGATGTTACAAGTCTCAGACAAGACCATGTGTGATGTCATGGTCTTTATTCCCATCATCCTTCTCTTCTATAAAGTCTATATTGATATTATTTTACCCTTACTTCATTGACAGTTAACCAAATATTTTAGCTTAGAGTGGTCAGATGTGACGACATTACTGGAGCAAGGAAGAGAGCCCGGATGGTTGTGAGGGGAAGGCCAAGAAGTTGAAACCTGGGAAAGCAAAGGCGGGAGAGAACCAACTTTGCAGGGAACAATCACACAGGTCACAGAGAAGGCAAAGGAGCAACATCTGGAATGATGTGTGGAAAGGTTCCTGCAAAGGAGCAAGGGCTGTAGAGTGAAGGCCCAGCACCTGGGAGGAAACTGAGATCCTAGTTTGGGCTACCAAAGCAACTTCTTTGTCTCATTTCCCACCCTCATTTTTCTTCTCACGGTCCCCTTGCATTTCAGTGACAAAGGTGTTCTTTTTTTTGTTTCCAGTGTAACCATTTTGCTTATACATCTGCTTCCCAGCTCTTTTGCATTTCTCCCTGTGTGTGAGTAAATACATGCATTCATTCATAAATTCTGCAAATATTTTGAATGCCTACTCCCAGCCAGGCATTGTACCATCATGAACAAGATTGATAACTTTCCCATTCTCATGCAGTTTATGTCGTCAAGGAGAAATAGTAAATAAATAAATAAATAAATAAATAAATAAATAAATAAATAAATAACATCTCACGATTGAACATGTTGTTCAGGAAAAGTCAGTGGTGTAAGAGAATACAAAATGAGGGGCTAATTCAGATAAGATGGTCAGGGAAAGTTTTCTTGGATAGACACATGATGCCTGGGATCAAGTTATATGAACATCTGGGAGAGGAATATATCAGTCACAGCCAACAGTGAATGCAAGGCCCCGTGGTTGGAAAGGAACTTTACTGGAGGACCTGTAAAGCCAGAGAAGAATCAGCAAAGGAGGATGCCCTGAGACGTTAGGTCAGCAGATAGGCATGCGTCAGATAGTACACAGTTTTGTTATTGTTTTGGGAATTTGGGTTGTTCAGTTTCTTTCACTCAGAAACTGTTTCTATGTCTTTCTTTGTCTTGAGTTCCTTGCTGCTATTGAGGATTACAGGTCAGTTGTTTTGTCCAGTGTTCTTCAGTGTGGGTTTGTCTGCTTTTTCTTCATTATTAGATTTATATAATGCATACTTGGCAGAAATGTCACAGAATTGATTCTTTGTTCTTGCACTCTGTCAGGTAGGGCGAATGATTTGTCATTACTACTGATGCTTCCTGTGAGCAATTGATTAAGGTTTTGTCTTCCAGCTTTCTCCCTGTAAAGTTAACCTTTTTTCCTTTAATGAGTATTTTGTGAGAAGGAACTTTGAGACTATTAAATATTGCATTCTTCATCCAGCTTTCAGTTTATTTATATATTAGATTTCTAGTCAGTGGATTGTAATCTGTTCTTCTCCTTATTCATTTTGAAGTTCAAAATACTTGAGCTTGTCCCACATGTGACTGTTGGAAACCCTGTCTTGATGGCTTCTATGTCCTTTGACATGTCTCCATCACTCAAAGCAGGTCCTTATTTTCTGTCGCAACAACACGTTCCTGGCTCATCTTGCTTTTTCCCTATTCCAGCCTTAATGTCAGCCATTTCTTTAAAGTGCTTTGCTTCCTTTTAGTTGAGAATGGTATTTAGAAGCCAAAATCTGAGTACTAGGTTTACTCATTGATGCTGAGAGATGGCTGCTGCCTGACCCTCTCAGTGGACAGAACTAGACACTATACTTATATACTACATGCACACACATTTACTTCTATATATTGAAAACCTTGAGTTCACACGGATGTCTCCAATTCCAGTTGAACACTACAGGTTTCGTTTCAACTTATTCACCTTCTGAATTTCTAACTGCCTTCTCTGGCAGTGAAAAACCGGACTTCCATTATCCTTAATATATTTACTTATTTGATCAAATTCTCTGTATATAACGAGCCTTCCATTACCAGCTCCACCTTAACCATCTGATTGCCCTTCTCATCCCACCTGGGCTATGACAACCTATGCCAGGTCATACACAGAGAGTTGTCCTTATCCTGCTTGTATTCTGACTTTCTGCACAGGACAATCCTTTTTATTTTGAAACCCTCCTCACACAGGTTGACCTTCCTGCTCTGGGTTTTATTTTATTCAATCTTGACCCTTGAGTGTGCATTAAGAAAATATTTTGTACGATAAAATAGGAAATATTTATTAAGTTCTTCTGCTGTATACTCAAGTGTGATGATTGTGTTGAGGAAAACCACTTGGGCAGTTGTTTGAATCATGAGTTAAACTAACTGCTTTTTTATTGGGGCACCATTTTTTTTCCTTGAAAGAATGACTAACAGACTCACTATGGTTATCCAGACTTCAGTAGTTAGAAAACATTTTCTTTCAAGTCAGCTTGTCATTTCAAGACCAACTGTTTGTTCTTGTCAAGCAAACTGTCAAGTAAAATTAGAACTATATGAAACTTATATCCACCATTTAGCCTTATAGCTTCTCAGTACATATATAGAGATAGGTGGTAATATTAACACATGATTGTTTTGGTATTTTATAGTGAAATATGCCACCCCCTCAAAGATCTGCACAAGTCAGTGAACTACTTTTCAAATGACAATGCATGATATTGCAAAATTCTGCATGAATAAAAGATCATTCAAAGTGTCATGGATTTTTTTTTAAAGATTTTATTTATTTATCCCTAGAGGTGAAGGGAAGGAGAGAGGGAGAGAAACATCAATGTATGGTTGCTTTTCGTGCGTCCCCTGCTAGGAACTGGCCTGCAGGGAACTGGCCTGCAGGGAACCTGCCTGCAACCCTGGCATGTGCCCTGACTGGGAATTGAATCGCAATTGTCTGGTTCGCAGGCCCGCGCTCAATCCACTGAGCCACACCAGCCAGGCAAAGTGTCATGGATTTTAATGTAACAGTATGAAAAGTTCATGGGTATAGTTGTATATTCCACATTGCAGTTAACCTTTAAGAAACTACCACTTCTCAAGTTTTCCTATAGTGTCAAAGAAAAACATCGACAATTATCTGAACAGGCTCATAAAATATTCTTCCATTTTATAATTTCATATCTGTGAAAGGTTGGAATTTCTTCATATACTTCAACCAAAATAGCATTGCCACAGGTTTAATGCAGAAGCAGATATGAGAATCCAATTGTTTTCCATTAAATCAGATATTAAAGAGACTTACAGAAGATTAAAACAATACTTCATTAATTTTTTTATTTTGGAAAATATAATTATTTTTTATAAAATATGTTAACATTTAATGATTTTAAACACTGCTAATCCTCACAGAAACCATTAAAGTACCAACTAATTACAATGCAAGTCCTTATATGTCAATTCAAACTTATTGAACTCTCTGTTGATGCTAAATTCTACAAAACTGCACTTCATGGATGGAATTGAACTGGGACTAGGTCATAACTTCATTAGTTTCAGTTCATTTCTTCTTTTGAAGTTGATTGAAAAAATCTTTCTTTGCTTTAAACTTCCCACATGACTCCTGATGGGCTAACCTCTTTGAGTGTATCATGATATGAGCTGGGTGGTTGTGTTACAGCTTTAGTTAGTTGTGTTTCACTTCTTGTTTGAACTCCAGCAGAGTCTTGGAACTTAATAACTGCTCAAACTGCAAGATTTGTCTTCTTTCTAGCCCAAGACCAACCACTCAGAAAAATTTCTGTGAGCAAGAATTATCTAGTTTAATGAAGTTGTTTTTAAATGTGGAGATTTTCTGAGTTCCAGTTCATCATGGTAGCCTACACAATCATTAAAAGCTGGAACCACACTGGGCATAGAAGGGCTTGATTGATGTAAGGGCACGTTTTGATTTAAGGGAAGAACCATCTATACCATCTACACAGGAAGATGAGGAACTTGTTAAAGTTGTGTTTGTCAAATCCTCCCCAAAACTGTCAAATCAGAACATTAAGATTATAAGAGCTGAGCCCTGGCTGGTGTAGGGCTGGTGAACCAAAGGGTTGTGGGTTCAATTACCAGTTAGGGCACATGCCTGGGTTGCAGGCCAGGTCCCCAGCATGGGGTGGCAAGAGGCAACAACACATTAATGTCCCTCTCTTTCTCCTTCCCTTCCCCTCTCTATAAAAGTAATAAACTAAATCTTTTTAAAAAAGATTATAAGAGCTGAAAAATTAAAGCTGAGTTTGATGAGGAGAGACTTGATGCTTAGGAGTTCAGTAAGTCTACTAATCCAATTCACTTATGGGCATTATTTTCAATTTGTCTTTTATTTTTACTATAGAGGGCAATTCTCTGGTAGAGGGAATAAAATATGTGGTTTTCTTGTTTTCTTTCAGATTTGGAGTCAATACATGAGACCAAAAATACCTTTTCAGGAAAGGACATTTCTGAAATAAATTTTTCTGAATGGGAGATCAAGGGAAAAAGTAAAACCCTCGACATTGTGGCATCCATTTTCAAAAATAATTGGAAGTACAAAAGCAAATATGAGGGACTACAGGAACATGAAGAAAAATACTTCAGTCAAATAATAATCAGTTGTAAAAAAATTCCCACTTACAAAAAAAGTAAATCTCTTATTGCATATCAAATAATTCATAATCCAGAGAAATCCTATGTTTGTAAGGAATGTGGGAAGACTTGTAGCCATGGTTCAAAACTTGTTCAACATAAGAGAACTCATACAGCTGAAAAACACTTTGAATGTAAAGAATGTGGGAAAGACTTTTTTAGTGCCTATCAACTCACTGTGCACCAGAGATTTCACACTGGTGAGAAACCCTACAAATGTAAGGAATGTGGGAAGACCTTTAGTTGGGGATCAAGTCTTGTTAAACATGAGAGAATCCATACTGGTGAGAAACCCTATGAATGTAAAGAATGTGGAAAGGCATTCAGTCGTGGCTATCACCTTACTCAACATCAGAAAATTCATATTGGTGTGAAATCTTATGAATGTAAGGAATGTGGGAAAGCCTTTTTCTGGGGCTCAAGCCTTGCTAAACATGAGGTAATTCATTCAGGTGAGAAACCTTATAAATGTAAAGAATGCGGGAAGGCATTCAGTCGTGGCTATCAACTTACTCAGCATCAGAAAATCCATACTGGTAAGAAACCTTATGAATGTAAAGTATGTGGAAAGGCTTTTTGTTGGGGTTATCAACTTACTCGACATCACATATTTCATACAGGCAAGAAACCCTATGAATGTAAGGAATGTGGGAAGACCTTTAATTGTGGTTCAAGTCTTGTTCAACATGAAAGAACTCATACTGGTGAGAAACCATATCAATGTAAAGAATGTGGAAAGGCATTCAGTCGTGGCTATCACCTTACTCAACATCAGAAAATTCATAGTGGTGAGAAACCTTTTGAATGCAAGGAATGTGGGAAAGCCTTCAGTTGGGGTTCAAGCCTTGTTAAACATGAGAGAGTTCATACGGGCGAGAAATCCTATGAATGTAAAGAATGTGGAAAGGCCTTTGGTAGTGGGTATCAACTTACTCGACATCAAATGTTCCATACTGGAGAGAAGCCCTATGAATGTAAGGAATGTGGGAAGGCCTTTAATTGTAGTTCAAGTCTTGTCCAACATGAGAGAATTCATACTGGTGAGAAACCCTATGAATGTAAAGAATGTGGAAAGGCCTTTAGTCGTGGCTACCACCTTACTCAACATCAGAAAATTCATAGTGGTGAGAAACCTTTTGAATGCAAGGAATGTGGGAAAGCCTTCAGTTGGAGTTCAAGCCTTGTTAAACATGGGAGAGCCCATACTGGTGAGAATTCCTACAAATGTAAATGTTGTGGGAAGGCCTTTGGTAGTGTCTATCAACTTAATATTCATCAGAGATTTCATACTGGTGAGAAACCTCATCAATGTAAGGAATTTGGGAAGACTTATTCATGGCTCAAGCCTTGTTCAACATAATAGAACTCATAGTAATGATAAACCAACCATACAAATATAAAGAATGGGAATTCCTTTATATGGGCAGCTTACTCAAATGAAACAATTGATACTGGTGAAACTTAAAGGTTGAAGAGATGTGAAAACATTATTTTGTGGATGACAATTTAACAAGTGGGGAAATCTTACCCTTGAGAAACCTTATGAATGTAGGGAATGTGCAAAAGCCTTACCTGTGTATGGACAATTTGCTTGTTGTCAGGAAATTCAAACTTAGAAATAGTTTGAATTTAATATAAGAAATATGAAAAGGCCCTTAGATTTCTACATGATCTTATTGAACATCAGTTTATATTGACTTGAAATCATTTAAATGAAAGGAATATATCTTTATGCATAGCACAGAGTCTGAGAAGCATTGGGGAATTTATACTCATTAGGAACACTTTAAAGAATTAAATTTAAGTTCTAAATTTAATTCAGTTCTTGCTCTGTACATCAGATAATTTATACTGCTGTGAAATTCTATGAATATAAGGAGTGTGGAGAGTGTTACAGATGTGGCAAACATCTTAGGGTACCTCAGAGAATTCATCCAAGTTAGAAACCCTTTGGATAAAAATGTAAGAACACTTTTGTACAAGTGCTACTCCAACTGTTGTCTAGAGATTAGTGCCAGTCTACAAAATTGTTGCCCATCCATCATGACATAAATGCAGAAAACGAGAGTAAATTTTTGAGAACTTTTATAGCAATTTGATATTGCCATAAATAACACCATTGCATTCCACAGAAGTATCAATTAGTCCATGAATGATTGGAAATTAAAAACAAAAGTTTGCCCTCACCCAGAAATAATTGAGAACATCCACACTTTTAAAAATGTGGCACAAGTTATGTGATTTAATCAGAACAAGAAATCCCTCACTTGTGACCTCTCTGATTAGAAAAGCAGAATATTCATACTACAGGGAGATTTGGCTAATGTGGGAATCGCAACTTCTTTATGCCAATAAAAGCATAGAGAATTTGTATCAAGTATGTTTATTTAGTAGGTGTATGGAAACCTTCCAACACTATTCAGTCTTTGTTAAACTTCAGCAAATCATCCTAGAGAATAACCCTGTCAATGTAACAAAGGTAGGAAAAGACCCTTATCCATGGCATAACCCATACTGATTTACTACCATTCCACCTCACTGCCTGTGGGGTATTGGGCAGAATGTTTGTCCTTTCTGGGTATTATCTTTAAAATGCTGGTGATGGTAACTACTTAATAGTGCTTTGTAGAGAATGGATGGGTTTAGCATGCATCATGTCCTTGAAGAGTTTCTGGAATGTAGCCTATGCTCAGTACACATTAGCTGTTATTATCCTCATCATTAGCATTAAGTACTAGTGAATTCTTAGGAGATGAATGCTCATTGGTATAATGAATCTAGAAAAGCTTTTCATAAACATTTATTAATTTGAACTTCAGATAGTTCATTCTGGATAAAATTTAATAGCCTAAGAGTATAATAACCTAAGACTATATTTATTCAGAATTTATTCCTTAAGCTGCATAAGAAATTAAGGGTGAAAATAAACATGGATTTAACAAATGTTAAGATGTTGGGAATATGGATGAAGAACCAGGGAGGAGTGTGAAGCAATTTGCCTATAATGAATTCCAACGGACAGGTAGGCAATAATTAAAATTCTTCATTTGTATTTAAAAATAATTAGAAATTACAAAGAAAAATATTGTTCATTTGGAATCCCCCCCCCTCAAATTTCACAACAATTTCAGGCATTCAGAGAAGTCTAAAGAATAGTACAATATACTCCCTATCTAGAATCACTAATTGTTATGCTTTGGCCATATTTACTTTCTCCCTCATACAATGGACCATCATTCAGCTTTAAAAGAGAAGTGAGTTCTGACACATGCTACAACATGGATGAACCTAAAGGGCATTATGCTAAGTGAAATCATGTTACGACAAGATAAATACTGTATGATTCCACTTATAGAGGTACTTAGAGGAGTCAGATTCATAAAGACAGAATGTAGAAAGGTGGTTGCTAGGGGCTAGGGAATGAGGAATGGGAAGTAATTATTTGAAGGGTATGGTTTCAGTTTTGAAAGGTGGAAAGAGTTCTGGAGATGAATGGTGGTAGTGGTTGCACAACAGTGTGAATGTACTTTACTACTGAACTGTACATTTAAAAATGGTTCAATAGTCCATGTTATGTTATATATTTTAACAACATTTAGAGAGAGAAAGAAAACCCAGAGATGCCAGAAATCAAAACTACTGGGACAGAAATGAAGAATTCCTTCAATGGAATCATCAGTAGTAGACTGGATCTGGCCAAGGAAAGAATCAATGAACTTGAAAATATGTCAACAGTAACCTCCTAAACTGAACATAAAGAAAATAAATGGAAAAAAGAAAAGAAAAACGACCCAGGTCAGTGTGGCTCAGTGGTTTGGAGCATCATCCCAGGACCAAAAGGTTGCAGTTTTGATTCTTGGTCAGGGTACATACCTAGGTTTTGGGTTTGATCCCTGTTCTGGGCATGTACAATCCCCAGCCAAGGCACATATGGACACAATCAATGCTTTTCTCTTGCCTGGATGTTTCTAGCTCTCCCTCTTGGCCTTCCTCTCTCTTTAAAAGCAATGAAAAATATATGTCCCCAGATGAGGATTTTTAAAAATGGAACAGAATATTTTAAAACTTAGGGGTAAAGGTAGAAGGTGTAAAATGTATAATGGGAATACAGGGAGAAGAAGAAGAGAAAGGAGCAGGAAAAAAATATAGAATTAATAATGGTTGAGAATTTTTGACAATTAATAAGAAATGCCAGACCACAGTCAAGAAAGGTTTGGGTAAATGCCAAAAACTATACCAAGGCATATCACCCTAAAACTTCAGAAAACCAAAGACCAAGAGAAAATCTTGGAAAGAAGCCAGAATTTGGGTATTGGCAACTAGCCTGTAGAGACCCAAGGGTGAAAATTAAATCAGACATCAGAAAACATGCAAGCAAGAATAAAATGGAGTGAAATATTTAAAGTGTTGGAGGAAAACCCACCAACATAGACTCCTGTACCTGGTGAAATTCTTCCCTCAAAAGTGAAGAAGAAATAGACTTTCTCAACAAGCAAAAATTGAAGGAATTTGTTGCCAGTAAATCTGCCTTACAAGAAATGTTAAAAGAAGTTCTTTGTGGAGAAATAAAATTATATAGGTCAGAAACTTGGATCTACAAGAATGAAAGGTCATTAGAAAAGGAATAAATGAAGATAATTTATTTTTCTTATTGTTGATCTAATGTATGTGTTCAAAATAATAACAACAGTGTGATTATAGCATATGAATAACTGAAATTAATGACTGAAGCCAGGTAATAGATTGAGTCTTTCCCATAGTCTGGTTTACACTGGGTTTACTGGATCAACAAACCCACTTGATCATCATTTTTCTTGTCCCAAATTGCAAGTAAAAAGTTACTTTGACAATATCGTGAACCCAACATTAAGTATTTGGCGAACATAGTGGAGAAAGCCAAGTAGAAACCTCTGAAACCTCTCCCTACCCCAGAAAATATAGTTTTCAATAAATTAAAAACAATACAATTTCCCAGTGGTAATGACAGAAGTTACTACCACTCTTAAAGGACTTTGAAAAAACAGGAGCTCTGTTCACCATTGTATCTCTGTTTTGAGAATGACAGTAGCCTACTCCAAACAAGACAGTCCCAAATGCAGCCACCTTTCTTTCCTTCTCCCTCCCTCCCTCCCTCCTTTCCTTCCTTCCTTCATTCTTTTCCTTCCCTCCCTCCCTCTTTCGTTCGTTCTTTCTGCCTGTCTTCCTTTCATTTTCAAAATATTTTTATTCTTACTTCTACAAAGGTATTCCTCCTCATATTTTTTAAGATGGCATCTAAATTTTTACCCTAAAGTATAATAGCTGCAGGAAACAAATCTTAAGAATATAAATAATTATGTGTAGATATAAAGCCATTATACCAGTCTTAAATGGAGTTAACATAGAAATCTAACAAACCTCGGTATCTTTCTAGTGCAGATTAAGATGTTCTTATACATGGAAAGCTTCCATTGATTTGAAGAAAGTGTACTATAATATCTGGAAAAGGTCGTATAGTTCACATTTATGTGGAATAAACAACTATACATTTACAGTTTTGCTACAGGGCTAGGTCAGTTCTGCCCTTTGTCATAATATAGCCTAAATAGATACAAATTCTTGATATCCTGAGTAGTACCACATTAATCCACAAATTTGTCAACACCATGCTAATTAGAACAGAGAAACAAGAAGTGGTAGGCAATTTGGAGGCCTGAGTAGGACCTGTGTGCTCTGATGGGAGTGACTCAGCAGTCTGCTACATTAATAAAATAGTGGTCCAGTGATAAGGGGTATGCCATTATATCCCATATGAAATAAAAGACAAAGTATTACATATTGTAACTCACCTTGAAGCAGAATGCCGAGTCAGTGCCTTTCAGACTTTGTGTTCTAGAAGCTCCATATTCCACACCTAGGAACACTGCTCCAACACATACATCAGGTAAATAGAAATGGGTGCCAGATTTGAGTGAGGCCCAAACAGGGGAATACTCTGCAGCAGTTTTAGGAAGTAGTGCAAGCATAATTGCATTTTAGGGCATAAGACCTCATGGTGGTGGGAAAAGAAGCCATGTGGAGTTTGCAGAAAACAGCATTAGAAGAATTCTAACAAAGGACCTTAGGGTTGCAGAAAAGCCATCTGCAGCAGAGAATCATATACCTTTTAATATATACCTGCTGGCTTGCCTGTGGGATCTGATAGAGCTGGGGCACTGGAGCATGGAACATCGAATGACCATGTGGCTATAACTGTCCATAAAGACCTGGATTCTCACAGACCCACTAAGTTGCGACATCCCATTGTAAGATGAATGTGATATATCTGGAATGAAGCATGATCAGGACTCTACGATAAAGGGCAACATCAACAGCATTAAGTCATATTGATTAAACATCCTTGATACGATGTCATAGAGATGCACTTTACTTGTGTGATTAGCAGAAAGAAAAAATTGCCGGCCATAAATACCCTATCTGGCAATGTTATCCTTCAAA